GTATTCCTCTCGAATTTTCATTGTTTTGTGTGGCGCATTTATATTGGCGCTCTCCTGTACCAATATTCATGTGTCCAAATAAATAAATAAATAAAGGAACTCGTCCATTCGCCCCCATAATAGTCATCCTCTGGAGCCGTTTTACTGTCTTAGAAATTCCTTCAATATCGACCACATGACTTCAGTGTTGTTAGTATGAATGCCGGTAGTAGGGTCGACAGAATGGCGTTTATGCACTGCGACATGATAGACATACCCAAGTATATGAAGGCATCTATACACTCTCCAATCATCTGTATATACCGTAGTGCCCGGCTGCACGTATTCCTTTATAATTGGTATTATTATGCTTGCTTGGCGGTTTATCGCCCTCTAGGAATGCTTCTTTTGCGTTGAGCGATCATAAATTCCAAGTACCTGTCAAGTACATTTACGGAAGTGCTACTTACCCAATCTTCCTTGATACTACGTCCCCTGTTGTATTTTCGCTGTCGCACTACTGTTCCATCTATTTCCACAATACTTCCTACTCCGAATGACTCGTGTAGACGTCATTTTAAGTGCACATATATCACGACAATACTCATACCACTGGACGGCTGAAGTTTCAGTAACATCTGCAAATGCCGCATCCGGTGTTACTAGTGACTTTATAATCCAACTTGCAACTATTATCATGATTTGTCTCAGTCTCAGTCGCGATCGAGAGAAGAACGTCCCCGTTCGAGCAGAGTTTTTTCTCCAACATAAAGAACAACGAAATACAATCTCATCATGATAGTCTGCACACTGTACTGCAGTCATTTGATAACCGCAGTCACAGGTACAGGGACTTCTTAGTAGTCTCATCTCTTGTAGCTTCTGATTGGCTCATCCATAAATTAGTCTCGCCTAATTTATGAACGAGGTTTTGAAATGGCTAAAAAACCAGTGGTGTTCTTCTAATCTGAATTGTTTGGTCATGAAGCTCTCATTGTCCTTCTGGATAGCATTCAGAAGAATACTGTTCACTAAAAGCGATTTGGTTAGGGCATATAGCATAAAATGTACATTACTTCGCTTCATATGATGGTCAGTCAACAACGTAGAACTTCTTACGTACATACATCAGTTCAAATTGCCATACCACATTAGCACAGAAATACAATTGTTAATTCAAATCCCATAGTGGTAGACGTAGTAAAGGTATAATCAGCAATCGAGAACATTAGGGTTTGAAGATGTTATTCAAGAAGTGTAATCCAGCGAAATAAATTTAGAAAGAAAATAAGGGACATGAAGAATTCAGAAGATTAGAATTCGAGAGAACACAAACAGTGGATGCACCTGCACCATTGCAAACGATTTTGAACCATGTCATTCAAGGTCTCTAACCATTTGTCGCTATCGTCTCGTGGATCCGAACCAGATAGTCTACACCTACCAACATGACTCAGTCCACTTGTCAGTGATTTCATGAACTTGTGCCATGTTTTGGTCTGGCCGCCCCTAGCTTTCTTCCAACCTACTCCTATACCACTGAACATAGCACGTCAAGGCAGTCGGTGGTTGGGCATACGTAACACGTGTCCCAGCCATCTCAACTGATGAAGTTTCATCACTTCATCAATGGATTTGCCATCCTTACCTAGTACCCGTTCCCTAACAACTGCATTACTTACTCGATGGTCCCAGGATATACGAGCAATACCTCAAGGACACCTATGATCGAATACTAGTTATCTATGGATATCCTCTACTCTTACCGGCCATGTTTCACAGCCATAAAGTAGGACGGAACGAACTGCTGCGCAGTAAACCCGTCCTTTGGTTGGTAGACGGATATCTCGCCTACGTCATAAATGACGCGAGTTGGCCAAAGCTAGTCGAGCCTTCTGTATCCGTGCGGACTACAAATGATTTATAACACCAGGATCGGCTTTTATTCATATTCATTAGGTTAGTTTTCTACCACTGTAAAATCTTTACCGAGAGGTAAAAGAATACTATGTTTCTCTCTTCATCCTGTTTTTGACTTAACTTTTTAGCCAACTGTTATAGCAAAGTACGTGAGGAAACTAACTTTTTACGTTCACTTGTCAATGGTCAACTTCCAAGTGATCACGAAGTGAAATTTATTTATAATGATGATAACAGCACTAACGCATCTGTTAGCGATGCAGAAGTCAAAGTTCCTGGTTCTAGACCTTCATGGTTCCCATCTACTCTACAAGAAACAAAGTCTCCAGGTGGTGAGAATTCATAACATTGTTGTACATTAATTATTTCATGCGCTCCTAGATGACAGTTTATAAATACACAATCATACCTCCTATTGTTTTCTTGTTTTTACTGTTGCCTTATACACTATCTAAACATCCTAGTTAGATTTACCTTCTTCAATTACCCAGTATTAGTTTCTATGCTTATTGGCACACAATGCTGAAGTCAATTGATATTATGGTGATAAAATCACTTAATGATATTTAATTTCTAACTTATATACTTATTTCCGGGCAAAATGCTTTGCCAACTTAATATTCAGAAGCTTATCAATAACATATTACTTCTCGCAAACAATACTAGTTTCTATTTTTCTCGCGGTATGTCCTGATCTGCACTTGATAGTTGTCTGTTGAGATATAGGACGAGACACGCTCTGTGGGCCGCGCTGTTAGCCAAAATATTGAACTTTCTTTACCAACTTGGTGTCACCCATTGCTGCGTCTGTGCACCATCCAATGGTTAACTGACCTGTTACAATGTGTTGATACAGGGATGGGGTGGAGTATAAAATATGAAGTTTAGCTATGATCAGTAGCCTTAAGTACAGCTATCGTAAGCTTTGAATATGAGTGATCATTTGATTTCTGTGCTTTAACGTCTCAGCGTAATATTGTAAAACAACAAAAATGAGTAGTTAAGTAGAGTCCCTGTACTCGGCCTTATGTAAGGGTTGGTGGTGTCATTCTGCTATCCAAACTGAAACAGGGTTTAGACTTACACCGCAATAGTTGGCATTCTAGCTCCGGTTGTTACAATGTAGGTTCACAATGCTGAAATGTGAGTATATTAACTTAACTCTCTGGGCAGATTTTAAATAATTAGTCACACCTTAGTCTTGCTAGTGTTCACATCTCAAACCTGCTCCAAAACGTTTGACAGTCATGATAATCAGTTAATTTAATGTAGAAACAGCAAAATTCGAAGCTTCCGATCCAAAAATTGTTGGGAATCATCTGAACTGTAGTTCACATGAGCATTGGACACAATAGTCTCGGGTTTTTCGCAAAATAAGGACTTGTCTTTTATTGTTTATCAAAGAAAGACAGGATCTGGAGGTAGGCGGCTACTTTGGAGCTCTTATGTAGACTTCAACTGCTTGAACATAGAAACTACATGAATAAGAACTAAATCCAACTGAAAATAAATCCTGAGCACATCTGCAAGATCGCTAACTTAAGGGTTATAGTAATTTGGTTTTAACGTGCGACTAGTTAACAAACTACAAAATCGACTAACATGTTAACTAGGCAACCCGAAGACCAGGGGTTCCTCCCACTTATTGGTGCTGAGGGAATTGCTTCAACGGCTGCGATTCACGACCAGTAAAAAAAGTAGAAGTTGCTATGACTTAATTACATGTGGAAAACGATATCCAACAGACTACTGTACACGGTGTTATAACGTTCACGTTTCTTATCTAGAGCGGATGAGCAGTTATCAAACTTCATTTACGGTTACTTTCAAATACTAAATGTTGAGGAGGATTGATACATTCAAGCAACCTCACTAAACTATTCTGCTGACTTCAGATAAAAGTTTCCTTTGTAATAATCGTTCTGTAAACCTTTATCTGACTCCGATTATTGATCTCATTTGATTGTGCTTGTTTTCTCAGATATCCCATTTTGTAATAAGTTGATGTAACAACGCGAACTGTGTTGAGTCATATTTTTATCCAATAAATGTAAATAGGCATACAAACTATCGGTAAAAAAGGCGAATGCTAATGAATCGTGTGGTATGTAGGCCCTAATTTGCAGCTAAATTGTGTGATATTTGGATTGATCAGGAAATCAATTACCACGTTAATTAGTGGCTCAAGTTATGTAGCTATCTATTTAAAGCAGTAAATGGACAGGCACACATCTAAGAAATTTACAACTATAGGTCATAACTAAGTATAAGAAAGCATTGTATAATTATTGGTAGGATAAAAATGACATCTAATGGTCACATGATTGTCTGATCCTCTGTTTCTCCAAACAGGAATGGATTCGCGTAGCAATGAAAAATATGAGAGGTTACTACACCTCTATTAAAAACGTCTGGAGAATCGAAAGGAAATATTTGAAGCAATACATCCATTAGCTTTTAATAGGTTCGGTGATGCTCAAACAATCAAGCGTCGGGATATGCTGCAGTTGCGTCTCTAGTTTTTCACAAGTTTATCAATGACTCAACTTCTGTCCAGTTACTCATCAAAATTGGACAGGTAAATCTTCTGATATAGCGAGATATTGATTTACTGTCATTCATGGTCAGCCTTTTTCGATCAAATTGTCAACCTAAGTGCCAATGATGAAAGCAAATATTTCAACGAGGAAATTGTACTTTCCTTTTTGACAAATTCATTTTCTAAAGCTATATATACTTGGAATAATTAGTATGACGAACGCGTTTTGTAGTTCACCGTTAATGTATACAATGAGTGGAGTTTGTGATATGTAAAACATATTATTCATGAATAAGTAAATGAAGTTCAGACTGACATATACTAAATTTTAAAGTCACAACTACAAGATGAGGAGTTCTAATGGAATGAAAGTCACCATAAATAAGAGTAAGAACTGATTGAAGGTGGCCATATAACAATAATACAATTATTGTTAGTGAAATATATTTAAATGTAAAAGGTTACAAAAAGATAACTATGAATTGAAGATAAGGAGGGTCACAAACATTAGTTGCTGAACACTACGAATACCGATTTTTAAAAAATTAGTTACAAAACGTTGGCAATTTAAAAGTAGAAAAACAAGCTATAACTTTAGATCTGTACACCTTTGTGATATATATTCGGAAATCATAGATGTTAGTTTCTAATGTACGCTAGGTGACTGGTCTGTAGAATTGAAAAGGCGAGGTATGTTTCCGTCTTATTTCAAAGCTGCCTCTATCAGCTTATTTTAACATATTTTTGCAAAAACTAGAGTTCATTTTTTCCTTTTATTTTGATCAGCGCTAACACGAATATGTAAGTACTTTTAGTGACCCAGAAACGCGCAGCAACGTTTGGCACATAGCTAAAAATGCTGAAGTCTATCAAAACTGGCTCTCCTTACTAGAATTTAATTTTTATAAAGCTTTATATTGGCAAAGAAAATAAATCAATTGAATTTTGATATGTTATTTCAGCTAGTTCTTCCTCGCTTACTCCTTTCACAGCAGAAACAACTTCCAGAACTTGGACAAGGTTAGCAGGTTCGTTGCGTCCTTTGACCATGTAGGATTCATCCCACGAATTATGCTTGCGATAAGTGTGGTGTGTCTTAACAAAACGATATCCTAGGAAGGGAAAAAATTATATCAGTTCTACATTACCTGCATGAGTTCTTCTAATATCACACCAAGGAGCATCTGTTTCTAATAACAGCCGACCAAGCGGGATTTTCTGCACAACCTGCAAAGACAAAAAATTGAAATATACTCGACTACTATTACTAGCATCTATACAAATAATGCTACTCATTCTTCTTCAGGCATTAGGTTTTATCAGTACCTTTTTGGTGACTTCCGTCACTTGGAAATATAAATATGATACATCCCTGAAGAAGTCACACCCAGTTCATCTGAACAACATAACTATGGAAACAGTAGCAGGTTACTGGTAAAAGCTGTCAGTTTTACCAACTGGGAGATAGTTAATACTTTATTGTTTGCTAAGTGACTGGAAAGTAAGGGACCTTTCACAACAGTCTTATCAGCGCTTCGTAGGCAGAGTATAATCTTGAAACCATTTAGTTCGTCTTACAGTTAACCAGTTGTGTGGTAAGCATGCCAGTTAACCAGGGTTCTTTTTTAAAAAAATTATTACTAACTACTGACGGCGCCTAACACGTGACTGCAATTAAGCCCATGAAGTCAAAGATGCCTTATGTCCATCAAACGCCAAGAGTGAAAAATATTAGTGCGATCGGTTGTTGGCAGAATTGAAATTATTTTATTTTGTACCTTTTAATCGGCTGCGAACAGATTAAAATTAAAACTCAGAATAATTTTATAGAATAAAGTTTAACTTCGAGACATTGATAACCTAATTTGCGACAGCAAAAAAATAAGCAATCTAATACTAAGTAAATATCATAAACATAGACATCTATAGTAACTATATCACCAATAAAAGACGAGTAGGAGGCTCGAGAGTTCGGTAATACATGGTTTATCCTATAATTATTGTTCAGTAAGTCAGTCAGCTACAATGTAGGACCAAGCACATATGTGCATCGGTCCAAGTTGCCACACCTCATTAGCACAACAAGATGAACACTAAATTCACAGTAGTTCCTTCAATGTTTGTAATATATAAAAGAAAGATTGCATATAAGGATACAGTACAAGAACAGAGAATTAGTTCGTAGAAATAAAGCAATTTTAATCTCACAGTTTAACGGAAGACAGAGTGTATACACCTACACCGTTGTGATCGATTCTGAGCCATGTCACCAAGAGTCTCCAACCATTGGTTACGATAGTCGCGCAGACCCCAACCAAGTAGTCTGCATCTACCAACAAGGCTCAGACTAGAAGTCAGTGACTTCAAGGACTGATAACACGTTTCGGTTTGGCCACCCTAACTTTCTTCGAATAGTCTCCAACACTAATCAGCATTGCGGGTCGTGGTAATTGATGTTCAGGCATACACAACACGTGACCCAGTCATCTCAACCGATGAAGATTCACAACCTCATCAACTGATTTACCATCATTCCCTAGTACCTTGCGTCTAACTTGACTATTACTTATCCGGTGACCCCATGAGATGCTGGGAATATTTCTAAGACATCTGTGATCAAATACTAGTAACCCACGAGTATCATCTACTCTTATTGGCCACTTTTTGCAGTCATAATGTAAAACAGAAGGAACTGCGTGCAATATACTCGTCCTTTAATTGATAGACGGATATCTCGCTTTCGCCATAAGTTGGCGGAAGCCAAACGAGCTTTTCGAATCCGCGCTGAGATTTCGCCAGACACAGACCCATTAGTGCTGATCAGACTTCCAAGATAAGTGAAGTTGTTAACGCGTTCGACTACTTCACTACCTATACGAAGTTCAGGTGTTGACGCAGACCAGTCCTGAAGCAACAACTTGCATTTAGAGGGAGAGAAGCGCATTCCAAACATTCTGGCATTGTTGCTTAGTGCTACCAAGAGACTGCATTTTATCAGCGTTTTAACCAAATAGGACTATATCATCTGCGTATTCTAATTCGATAAGTGAACATCCTTGTAGGAGATCAACGCCCGAAAATTCAGTCGTTGAGTTATTTCCATCAAAAAATCTAGATGAAGTCAAACAAAAATGAAGAAAGCGGACAGCCTTGACGGACACCACTCAAGGTTGCAAAAGCAGATGACAGTTCGCCATAAGCTCTGATTCGCCTAGTAGTGTTCGAATAAAGAGCCTGCACAAGGTTTATGAACTTCTGAGGTACGCCTTTTAATGACAGACACTGCCACAGAACCTCTCGGTCTACAGAGTCAAATGCTGCCATTAAGTCAAGAAAGACCACCATTGTCGGACGCCGTTAAACATGCCTGCGTTCTAGAACCTGACGAATGGTGAATATATGGTCGATGCAGCCACGACCAGATCTGAAGCCAGTCTGATTTTCTCGTGTCTGCAGTTCACAAGTCTTAGTTAGGCGCCCGATAATTATTGAGGCTAGTATTTTAGATGCTATATTAGTCAAACTAATCCCTCTATGGTTGTCACAGGATGATTTTGAGCCTTCTTATACATTGCGACCAGTGAGATGGGATTACGTCCAACCCCCAGATTTTGGCTAAAATATTATTCAACCTAATCGCTAAAACTGGGTCACCATACTTAGAGACCTTTGGAGCCAATCCATTTGGACCACCTTCCCTTCCTCGTTTCAGATTAGCTATAGCTTTTTGAACTACTTCAATGTTCCATTCATGCTGTTTGGGAATGGTGGGTAGTTGTAGAGTAAACGGAGTAAAAACTACTGATCACCATCAGAAATAAAATGTAAGTATACAGCAATAGTATGCAAATGAAGTTCTGTGTGATACATATTTTGACATCTTACTTCCAAATTACTTTGGTTCTTCAGACTGCAACCGTTGACACCAATATACAATCCCATATCAGTGAAACATTTGACCATTTCGTCTGTTCCATCAAATGAGTGCACAACACCTCGAAAAGGCTTGCCTTGAAAATATGACTGCTTAGCATTTTTGATCATTTGTAGAAAGTCATCGTGTGCAGCTCGACAATGCAAAAATAAAGGTAACTTAACATCACTAGCTAACTTAAGTTGAATGTCAAAATATTCTTTCTGGATATCTTTTGGACAAAACTCTTCACTGTAAATTAAAGTAAGAAAGCATTTGTAACTACCGGTCATAATCGAGACCACATTCACCTACAGCTACTACTTTTTTCGTCGTCAGAATTAGGTTTTCCAGTTTATTCAGGTAGTTATCTGGATCCTCGTGAAACTCCAAACATCTTGTAGGATGGCATCCAACTGTACAAAAGAGGTCCTTATCAGATTCACACAGGGATATAGCCTCAGCACTATCAGTGAGTGACCCTGGTTCCAGTTGATCGGAAACGTCAACTAATCTAACCTCCAGTTATAATTATTTTCTCCACACCACATTTCCTGGCTCGAAATAAAACATTATGATAATCATTTTTATGCTGGAGTACGCCGCGGTAAACACCCATGAAGACTTTGTCAGTAAGATTAGCACCGATATCAACAAGCCGTCTCATAGAAATATAGACAATCGGTATTAGACCGTTTGAAAGCTGCGATTTGGAGTTTGAAAAACAAAAATTTGTAAATGATTACTTTAACGCAATTAGATATTTGGTGAAAAACACCACACTAAACAGTCCTCACAATGAAGTCCAGTAAATTTCAGATGACGGGTTGGATTCAATTCAAGGTCGACCTGGCGAAAATGTAGACAGAACAATATCGACACCTATGGTGGAAACTCGGCTCTATCTAAGCGATCTCGAATCACTGACTGGTTGGAAATTGATTGCTACCACCAAATACGAATATTGAAGCAGCTTTTCTGAAACCATGTGCACCATTCAAACTGGCTGCCTTCAACGCCCTCACAATAATGCAGATCGGACAACAGATACGGTTGGCTATGTATTTAGAAAGTCTTAATATCGACGTGTGCTGTCTATCCGAGACCCGTATTCAAGACTCTGGTGAATTACTACAAATTCGCTCTCCATTTGTCGCTTCAAAAGCTTGTTTTACGTGCGTTTATCCGGGGACCCTGTGGCATCGTCTGGTCTTGCTGGCGTTGGTGTTGCACTAAGCGTTAGCGCTGAGGCAGCACTGATCGATTGGATCCCCATTAACAGTTGGTTATATGCTGTTAGATTAGAGAGTTCCATCAAAGTGAGGAGTAATCGGCTTGAGAAACGATGTCTTTTCGTCATCTCCGCCTATGCCCCGATAGATTGCAGCCCGGATGCAATTAAGGATGAATTCTACCACCATTTATCTGTTCTTCTCCAGAATGTGCGTTCGATAGATACTGTAGTACTAGCCGAAGACTTGAATGCTCAGGTCGGGCGTCTAGGCACAGAAGAGAATCGTTTAGGTGATCGACGGGTACTTGTTGGTCACAGGGCAGATAACGGCGACCGTCTACTGCAACTGTGCACAGACCACAACCTGTTTCTTGCTATCACTAACTTCTGGCATATTCATCGCCTATATGCCACCTGGCGTCCTCCCTCTGAATCTCAAACCTGAACTTAGATTGATCACATTGAGATCAGCTATCGCTGGAGTGGTTGTGTATACGTATGCCGATCCATTTGGAGTACTCATCGAAGCCCGTCGGTCTACTCCAGATGACCGTGAGTTTGGCTACAAACGAAGGATGTTACGTAATGAAATCGGGCGAAGCTTGCATAGGGATCGAGAAGCCTGGTGGCCGGAGCGTGCTAATGGGCTGGAAGCAACAGCTGCATCTGGTAACTACCGGAAGCTCTTCCAACTCATCCGAGCCACTGGCAGCAATAAGTCTGGTGTGAGAGAAACAATCTGCGAGGATGATGGGATACCAATCACTAACATCCATCGACGTCTTGGACGATGGGCAGAATTTTTCGAAGGGCAGTTCAACTGGCCTGCTGCTTCGGCAACATTGGTCAGACTGTCCTGTCCTCCATGGCCGGTGACGACTGATCCACCAAATGAGGCGGAAGTCCGCAAGGAACTCCAACCCTTGAAGCGCTACAAATCACCTGGCCCAGATGACTAACCTCCGGCCCTTTTTAAAGATGGTGGTGACTTTTTGACTAATGAGCTGACGACGTTGTTTACAAAATTCTAGGAACTAGAGAGAGTTCCAACATCATGAAACGAGTCAATAGTTGTCCCTATCTTTAAAAAGGGTTCAGGTTGGCTTCCGTAACACTTCGTAAGTTGTTCAAAACTCGAGAAAGATTGACTCGCGAGGAGCAGGCTGGGTTTCGTTCTGGTCGAGGATGTATTGATCATATCTTCACCCTCCGCTAAGTGTTAGAACACCGCCATACTTATCAAAGGCCAACAATCGTAGTGTTTCTTGACATCAGGGCTGCCTTCGATTCGTTGGACAGAACTGTTCTCTGGGATTGTCTATTGAAGAAGGGTGTGCCTGAGAAGTTTATTAACATCCTAAAAGCCCTGTATAAAAACACCTCAGGCAGAGTGAGGGCATACAACCACCTCTCTCCATTGTTCCATTCGAGCAGTGGGGTTAGGCAGGGTTGCCCAATCTCACCATTCCTCTTCAACTTTGCCATCGATGACATTCTGGAAACAGCACTGATGGATGTAAGTAATGGTGATGTGGATCTGTTGCCCGGGGAAAGACTTCTCGACCATGAGTATGCGGATGATATTGTCTTACTGTGCGATAATGCCCATGCATGCAATCCGCACTTAATCAGTTGGCAATCAGTGTCCGTAGGTATGATATGTGCTTTGCACCTTCGAAGTGCAAAGTACTTTTACAAGACTGGCAAGACCCTGATCCTGCACTCACCATGAGCAGTGAGCAGAGAGACGTTCATGTATCTGAGTAGCTGTATAAGAGCTGGTGGTGGCGTGAGTGATGAGATCGATTTGCGTATAGTGAAAGCTGGAGCGGCCTATGTCAATCTGGGCCATCTTTGGCGCCTTCGTGATGTTAGCCGGGTCATAAAATGTCGGATCGACAACGCGTCGGTGAGAGCAGTTTTGCTCTGTGCTTGTGAAACCTGGCCTCTCCGAGTTGAGGATTATAGACGACTGTCTGTGTTTGATCATCCCTGTCTCTGAAGGATTGATGACATCCAATGGCAACACCATGTTAGTAATGCAGATATCCGGCATCGTGTGTTCGGTCACAGTGACGATGATCCAGTTAGTCTCAATATCTTGAAACATCGACCTCAGTAGCTCGAGCATTTTCCACGAGTTTCGTTCCAGAGGATTCCTCGTCGTACATCATTTGCTGACGTTGGGACTAATTGGAAAAAGCAGAGATGGTAAGTGTGACATGTCGTTTTATGAAAGAAAGTTATACAAGGGTGGCTTCTGTTGGTCCTTCACGACTCCCTGGTTGGGGTCTGAGAGATGGTGCTACACAGTGGCTAGGGACGTTATCAGATATGGCCCGGAACAGAAGCCAGTGGCAGTCATGATGTAACCTTCTTTCACTTTCTTCATAAAAAGTGGTTGTATCTTGCTTAACTGAAAGAATTCTTTCTGGTTGTACCTTTCGGTTCCACCTACTATTATTATTAATATTACGCTACCATACACTAATATGTGGTCGTTATTGTTCCTTTTTTCTTATACGCAGCTTGCATTCTTTTTCTTTGCCCATCCTCATTGTTTTGTGTGGCGCATATATATCTGGCGCCCCACTGTACCAATATCTATGTATTCAAATAAATAAATAAAAATAAACATTCACGCTTTCCATTTTCAAATAACCTACACGAGTATATGGTACATATGAACAATACCAGGAGTATCACTGAACCCCACAATGAAGTAACTGTTATGGTTGGTAGGAACGAAGGAGATTTTTTGGATGCCTTGATTTATTTCAAGCGCCAATTATCTAAGAGAATCAACAGATTACAACTCCGCCCGCAGCTCTTCTAAAGTTACTGTCGGTCCCAGGGCCGAGTACAGGAGGAAGGCTGAGTGTGCATTTGGCAACCCCATCCCATAGAAAATAACCTTGCTGAAAAAAAGTTGACCAGAATAAACAAATTAAACCATTTAAACTGTCCTCGAAGTTGAAAGAAGAATTATGACTCCTCGTGGTGAAAGCCGATATTCTTCGGAAGTCACAATACCAGTGCCTCTTCTAACAACCACAACAATTAATACAGGTACATAGAAAGTCCGGACAGTATGGGAAAACCAACCAAATAGCTTCAAAAATGAGGAGATACAACTTGGCGGTTCTCAGAATTAGTGAAAGCCATTGCACCCGATCTGAACAGAAAAGGAAAGATTCGGGAGAGGTTCTGCTGTACTCCGGTCACGAGGAGGAAAATGCTCCACACACTAAGGGAGTTGTTCTGATTCTGTCCAAACAAGAAGGAAATTCACTTATAGGATCGGAATCTCGCAAATTCAAGATAATCAAAGCATCCTTCGAACAACAGTGGATGTTATCCAGTGTTATGCACCCATAAATGATAGCAGTGACGACAGTAATGATCAGTTTTATGAAAAGCTGTAATCAACCACAGCGAAGTGCCCAGGGAAGGATCTCACCCTCTTGATGGGAGACCTAAATGCCAAAGTTGAAACGTACAACACCGGATATGAAGATATTATGGGACAACATGGACTAGGAGAAATAAAGGAAAATGGGGAGACATTTGCAAACCTATGTGCATTCAAATTGGTTACAGGCAGCACAATATTCCCACACAAACGCATACACAAAGCTACATGGGTCTCACTGAATCACATGACAAAGGACCAGATCGATCATATTTGTATCACTAAAAATTCGACGTTTCAGGAGGTGGTAGGCCGCAAGAAGCATCATGAAAAGTGGATCCCTACGGATACCCTGGACAAGATGAAAGAACGGAAGAACAAGAAGACCACAATTAACAGCAGTTGAATAAGAGCATAGAAACTCATTGCACAAGCTGAACACAAAGAGGCAAACAAGAGAGTGAAGAGGAGAATTGGAGCAGACAAGCTGAATTACGTGCATGAGCTAGCAACGAGAGCAGAAAAAACATCAAGAGAAGGAAATATGTAACATCTATGTGGCACAGCGAAGAAACTGGTGAGAGAATGTGATATATCAGAGAGACCGGACAAGGACAAAGAAGGCAAGATAATCACCGAGATTCAAGAATAGCGGAATAGATAAGTAGATCACTCCGAGTAACTTTTGGATAGACCAGCCCGACTGAATCCACTGGATGTCGAAGCAGCCTCTACAGACATCCCTATAGATGTCACTCCACCAAAGACGGAATAAATCAGGATGAACATCAGACAAAACAATAGTGGGAATGCAGTAGGACCTGATAACACACCAGCTGAAGCACTGAAGTCAGAAACAGAAGTAACTGTAAAGATGCTCCACATTCTATTCACTAAGATTTTAGAGGAGGAACAAGTGCCACTGGCAGATTAGAAAGAAGGATACCCCATCAAGATCCCAAAGAAAGGAGATCTAAGCAAATGCAAGAAGTAGAGAAGCATCACACTACCGTCGGTACTA